GGACTTCTTGGAAAACGTGGATTTAAAGGGACGTCCAAGGAATGCATCTGGATTTATCATTTTTCGGTTTTGGTTCGTTAGCAAAAAGGGGGGGAGGGAGGAGCTAATCAGCATTTTTTCTCAATAGCTCCATCCTAAATTTTATATTTATTTTCAGTTGTATATAGTATATTTTTACTGCTCTATCGGATGGCGTTAACCGAATGTCGAAACATCTGGAAAATCCGGAAAATAGATTACTAGCCCCAGTTTCAGCGTTATTTTTGGTTTTGTTATGACTTTCTTAAATTATTCTTAAATCCTACTATATATAAAAAAATAGTTTCTGTGTGTGTGGACACTTTGCATAAAAACCCGGGTTCCAGTCATAACTCGAAGGGGAAAAAGGATTTTATGGTCCAAAAGTAAGGCAGCAGCGGGTAATAGAGGGCGTAGATTACAGCACGCTTATCAGATTTTTATAAAAATGTCGGTTAATACCTTATTTTAAAGTTTTTAAAACATATGGAAATAGGCCAATTTGCATACGAGGATTAATTCGGCCCATTCTAGGCTTTGCGGGGTTCCGAGTCGGTTGCGCAAGTAATTCCTGTGGTGTGCCTAACGCTAACGTAATTCGTAATATTAATGCAAATTATTATATGCAAAGTGCCCGTGTATCAAAGGGCCCCGCAGAGAGGCCAGGGTTGAAAAGTCGCGAAGCGGTGGTTGTGGTCAACCCTGGTTGTAATTAAATTGAATTTTGTTTTGGTTTAGACATGAAAATCTCAGTATATTTTTTGATGCTCTGACGGGTCGCGATGATGCACTCCCCCAAAAACAAAGAAATATTGAAAAATCAACGACACAGAACTGATTTTTTTCTTTATCAAACCACAGAACCCATTTTTCTTAGATCCTTCAAAATGCTGGGTATTTGCGTTTAAAATGCATTTTTATTTAATTCCCTTCGCGACCCCTTGATAAGGCAGATGTCCTCCGGGGGCATTCCAGGGAATGGATACCCCAGATGATTCTTGGCTATCAATTTGCTGCTGCTAGATCTTTGAAAGCATTTTTCTCAGCGATTTTTTTCAATTTCCTCTAAAGCGTGACGATTTTAGTTATTTGGGAAATGGTGTACATCAAGTATCCGCGGGAATGGCTGGCGATGGCTTACCGAGAATTCGACGTCGTCGTGAACGACATCCACGAGCGTCAACTCAAATCTGTAAGAGTTCTCGAGCCGAACGAAATGGCGCGACGGTTTTGACCTCTATTACCCTAAAAACCCGAGTATCGTTTCCGGGTGAAACGTACGTTCCGTTTTACCGTAAATTGGTGTGTATCGTTTTTCGGTATCTTGCAAATAACTCCGTTCACAAAAGGTATTTTTGCAATTACGGTTCGACTATTTCGAGCATTTTGAGTGGCTTAGTGACAGAAATTGCTGAAGGAAATTCTAAGAACTGCTTCGGCTTCTTTTGGCCTAGATAGCTTTTGCCGCGAGAGGGCGGGGACGCACATTATTGGAGCGTCATTTGTATTGGTCCGTCGCCAAAGTGTACCGGAACTGTACTATTTTAGGGTAATTTCAGATAGGGCAATGCTACGGGGTCGAGCACTTGGGTGCCGCCGTCTTCCCAACCCCTGCTTTCCCTGTGGCTGGACGTATCCATTCGCTGAACCTTCGCTATATGGTGCCATTAGTGTGCCAACGGGACAGAAAGCCGGATTGGCCGATCGTGAATGTATGGTTCATGATCGACACGGCCTCGCCGTACACGAGTATCACCCTCAAAACGAAGAAAGCTCTCTGGGGCGCAGGCGAGAAGTTCAACGAGGAGTTCGGCTGTTATGTGGCGATCCAGGTGCGTTTTTTTTTAGTGGAATCCCCATTTCTGATTCGCTATCATAATGTCGAAAATCATAATGGCGAAATTTCAGAATGTCGAAATTTTTTTGGATAGCATCGAGGGGGATGATCCGGAAAAATTAGTTTATGTAAATTTCGAACGGCGAAGAATCAACGTTTTTCTAAGGATCCGCTTTTTTAATGAAAATCGACGAAGTGTTTCTAAACTGTTTTTACGATCTCTATATCACTACCTAATTTTTGATAAATTTTCATTAAAAAACCCCAAAACTATCGATTTTTTGACCGAAGATGAGCAATTTTCGGCTAATTTTTATTCTGTTTTTTTTTCCAATTGAAATTTAGTTAATTTTACTAAAAAACCTATTAAAATATTTGCTACGAAGTGTGTTTAGGATCAAAACACTCATGTTGAGTGCAAGCTGTCAAAGGCAACCTTTTTCGTTGATTCTTATTGTTTATGCCCATGATTTTATTTCTTAACACAACGTTTTAACGCCCATCTGATGCGATAAATTGTGCCCTCTACCGACCGGATTTGCAGATTAATGCCTCCCTCGAATTTTTCGCCTTTTTTGCGGTTGGAGAAATTTAATCGGGAACGGAACTTTGACCGGCTAAGAGTTCCTGGTAGCGATAAAAAGCGCGGGAAAAAAAACTGTGATCTTTGGTGGATTTGAGACTTCAAATTTGCGGTGAGAGGATTATTCTTTACAGTTTTCGGAAAAAGATATATTGTTAAGTACGGCTTTATTAATTTTAAAGCTAATTCTATCGATCAGAAAGTGTTTTCAAGGAATTTAACTATATTTTAAACGCTACAAGCTATAAAAAATGCAAAATTAAAGAATTTTTGGGGATTTTGGTGGAAAAAAGCATTTTCGTATCTTCAATCGACGATTCGTAAGTTTTTTAGCTTATTAACATTTAACACTTAAAAAAGCTTTAGTAACTTTAAAACACTAAAACAAATTTAAAAACACAATCGGGAAGGCTTAATTACAATCCGTTAAATAGCTATTTTGATAATAAATACAAAAATATTAGTTTTACTACTATATATACTATATAAAACTATATAAAACTATATAAATTTACTATATAAAACATTTTGAGCCTACATTTTTCCGGAAATCGATCGTTAATGGCTTTATAAATGTAATATATAATCTTTATGCCCTCGAAACGGACGCGTTTTTTACAGGGCAATTTTTAATGGCTTTGAAAAGTGCGAAAATTTTGTTTTAAAATTTCTGTATTGAAATTGGGATAAAAAATTTAGACCAGGACTTGTTTCACAAAGCGATTATGATTTTTGCGCCCTAAAAAATGACGCATTTTTTTGCAGCACAATTTTTCAATAGCTGCGAAAATTCGCGTCAGCGTGGCGC